TTTTTTTTTTAAAGTACTGGGGATTAAACTCAGGACCCTGAGCTTGCCAGGCAAGCACTTATTTTACTGAGCTATCTCCCTGGCCCCCACCTCAAATATATTAATCCACATGTGCACCAAAATAAATTCAGTGCTAGTCTGGTCCTAGTGAATCTACAAGCTGAAACTCTGGCCAGGTTAGTCAGCCAACAAGCAGCTACTATGAGTGCTATGAAGCACACACACTACAAAGCAGTGTGAAACCACGATGAAAAGAACAAAAATCCTTACTGGCTAAAGCTCTAAGGAGGAAAATAAACACAGAAGGTCAGGAAATATGAAGGTGGGAGGCTAAAAATCTGGATTAGATCATCTTGCTGGGACAGGAGGAAAGCCAGGTGGATGTGAAGTCACGAGTATTTAGACAAACACTGCAGAGGATACCAAGTATCAAAGCTAGGAGACTCAGAAAATAGGAGGAGATCAGTGTGGCTAAAAGAGACTGAGCAAGTGACGGACCACAGGAGAAGATGTCCAAAAATAAGGCAACTAGATTAACAGACAGTGGGAAGATGTTGGCATCTACTATAGAAGGCTCATCCAACAAAATGTCTTATTCAAGGTTAGCATCAGAGACGCTATGCGGAGAACAGAGAAAAACAAAAGACCAGCAGAGAGACTGCTAGGAAACAGGGCCAGGGGTATAGCTCAGCAGCATAAGTGCCTGCCAGGCAAGCGCAAGGTCCGGAGTTCGATCCCCAGTATTGAAAAAAATAAAAAAACTAAACTGACAGGAAACGAATGTCAAAGCAGAGGATAGGGGCTGGTGAGATGGTTCAGTGGTCTAAAGCACCTACTTAGAACAAGCTTAGCAAAGCACAGGGACCTCGGTTCAATCCCCCAGCACCACACGCCAGCCAGCCCTGCCCCCTGGTGGGCTGAGCTGGCCACACACACACACACACACACAAATAAACAAATAATTTTTTTTTAAAAAAAGATTAAATAAAATCAACAAACTCTTATCCAATCTTATCAAAAAAGGAAAGGGGCCAACAAGATAGCTCAGGAGATTAAAGCGCCTGCCTAGGCAGATGCAGGGACTGGGATTTATCTCCAGTGTGCCATGCCAGGCCCCACCCTCGGGGCGTGTCAAGATGGTGATTGAGACCCGGTGTGGTGGTATGCGCCTGAAATCCCAGCGCTTGAGAGGCTGAAAACAGGATCACTATGAGTCCAATCTGTGTAGTGAGACCCTGTAGACCCTGTACTAAATATATAGAAAAAAAAAGACTCAAATCCACTCAATTAGGAACAAAAAGAGTAAATCACAACAGACCCTACAGAAATCCAGATTATTTACACCTACACTGAAAACCTGTGTTTTACTATGTTGGAAAATGCAGAAGAAATGAACAGATTCCTAGACACATATGAATTACCAAAGACAAATCAAGAAGATATAAATATTCTAAATGAACCAATATCAATCAATGAAATCAAAGATGTAGTTAAAAAACAAGCAACAAAGAAAATCCTATGCCTTGACGGATTCACTGATAAACTCTACAAGAAATTTAGAAAAGACCTAATGCCACTACTACTTCTCAAAATTGAAAGTGAAGCAATACTCCCAAATGAATTTCTGGAAGCAAGCATTGCCGTGACACCAAAACCAGAGAAGGACACAAATAAGAGAACTACAGGCCAATCTCCTTAATGAAAACAGATGCAAAAATCCTCAATAAGATACTGGCAAACAGAATGCAGCAAATCATTAAGACTGCAAATCATGACCAAGTGGAATTCATCCTAGGGATGTGGAGACATATGTAAACATATGAACATATGTAAATCAATAAACGTAATACATCATAGTAACAGAGCCAAGGACAAAAATCATATGATTATCTCAATAGATGCAGAAAAAGCTTTTGACAAAGTCCAGAACCCACTCATAATAAAATCCCTACAGAAAACTGGAATAGAGGGGCCAGGGAGATGGCTCAGTAGGATAAGCGCTTGGCTGGCAAACTCAAGGATCTGAGTTCAATCCCCGGTTCCACCAAAAAAAAAAA